TGGCTGGGGAATTCTGGGAGTTGAAGTCCACCCATCTTAAAGTCACCAAGGTTGAGAAACAGTATATTAAAGGTTGGGATGTTTCAAACCTGCCAGGAGTTCCCTCGCTCTCTTTCCCATTCTTTATCTCGCTCAACTAGAAATTTAAATATTGCTTTCTTCCACACCCTGTTGCCTAATTTTTCGGGGTGCCTTTTCCCAGTGCCTTCCCACCTCCTGCTGATTTTTGAATTGGTTTGTGTGGGTGAGTGGAAGCGTTGAAGGCGTTTTTCATTCTGAGCAAGAGACGTTTACTTCTTTTCGAGAGTGTTGGTGGTGCGAGAAACTTGGTGCAAATGTTGGTTCAAAGCCAGACCACTTTTGTAAAAAAAAAAAAAAAGTCAGTTGGCCAGGGTTGGGTGTGATGGGATTTGTAGTTCGACTACATGTGAAGCCCAGCAGGTTCCCCAGTCCTGTAGGTTTTATGTTCGTCCAGATGTTATAATTTCCCAGCGGTAAAAGGATTGCTGCAGAACTCTGAATGTAGGTTTTAATCCCCACAGCCATAGAAAGATAGGCTAAATAAAGGGGGAAATGCCAACGTCATTGGCAAGGGAGGGGGCCAATGCATTCTTATTTGCATATTCACTAATCTTAATCTTGTTGGGGAGGGAAGGGAAGGGAAGGGACGTTAACGTCCATCCAGTGTTGTTGACTTCACATCTCACCCAGCCGTTTCCTTTTGGAAGAGCCAGACTTCCCTGCAAAGCGACCCCTGATCTGGGTTTTGGCTGGAGGGCGGGCAGGAGGCAGGGGAGGCGGGTTGGAAGTGGCCTCCTTTTTTCCCAGCCCAGCTGCTTTGCAGAAGCTGGGTTTTCTCTGCCCTCCCGTAGCCTTTGGCCTGACGCTGGCGCTCCTTTTTCAGCTCCACGAGCTGGTCCTGGAGTCAGCCCGCGAAAAGAGGGACATGGAGCAGAGGCACACTGCCATAAAACAGAAGGTGAGGCCCTCGGGGCGGGCTGGAAGGGCACCGGTTTTGCGGGAGGCGGGGTCCGCCTTCCCAAACTGCAGCAGGCATGCCAAAAGGGCAGCCCCCCCCCCATCCAGGGGCAGGGAGACAGCTTTATAAAACAAAAAGCTGCCATAAACTTTGCAGGAACTTAAGACGCCCATTTTATCTCTTGGGAACTTCCGAGTCGGCACCAGGTGAGCCTCTCTAGGGCGGGTGGGCGTCCTCCAGCCTGAACACTTGACGTGCCAGTGCTCCCCTGGGTTCCCTGGCCTGGGCAGCTGAGTTTTATAAGTGAAAATCCAGGGTGGGAGGAGCTTGTGAGGGAAGGGGTGGAGCCTGTGCCCAAAGGGAGAAGGTTTATTCTACCGGGGCTAAAGTGGGGCTTGATGGGGGGAAGAGCTGGACAGACGAGAGAGGAGGAAGGAGAGGATCTGCTTGCAGGGATGAGGAGGTGCATCTTCTCTTGTGTCCTTGTTCAGGATTTGACCCAAGAGGATGATGTTCCAGAGATCCGGACGGAGCCAGGCGAGGTGGTGATGGAAGGGTACTTGTATAAACGGGCCAGCAACGCGTTCAAGACCTGGAGCAGGTGAGCAACGCCTCCCTCCCCAGAGAAGCACATCTGCTTCCTGTCTTTGCAGCTGGTCCTGTGTCTGATCCTCTCCTAGACCAGTGTTTCCCAACCTTGGCAACTTGAAGTTGTGTGGACTTCAACTCCCAGAATTCCCCAGCCAGCATGGCTGGCTGGGGAAT